TGAAGATACTATTAAACCTATGTACAGCATCAAATTCTACAAAAACTCCTAGTAAAAAGAATGAAAGTGAGGGGCTCCAAGAAACTGTATAAGCTTGAAATCGAACCTATAATCTCTAGTTATTGCAAGCTAAAGGGTTAAGTTTCTGCAAAATAATAAATAAAAAGCTATAAACATAACAACAAAACATGCTTTCCAAACATGGAGAAAAATGCGTATACAGATTCAGGTAGCATAACGTTGCGTCCAAATGCGAGCCATCTTGTCAAACTCTTCTCGATTTTCTCGATATTGCTTGGCGATAGAGGGCACAAGAGCGCAATCTGCAAAGAATTACATCATTAACAGTTTTACATCACAGAATCACACAATAAAGCGGTTTCGTAGCTATTTACCTGTACTGCATTCAAACATCAAAGACTTCAGTGCAATCAGCACCGTACGAATTGACATTGTTGGCTTCCACTTATCGTGTAAGATATCAATGCACACCTATCAAAGGTCAATAAAAGGCAGAATTCCAAACCATCGTGATATCAGCACCAAAGTAAACGAAACGGGTGCAGCTTTACTATGAAAACCAAAAGTGCAAAAATATGCTATATTTTAAAAAAAAAAAAGAGGAAGGGAGAAGGAGGGAAGATAATGGGTTGGTGCACTGCTGTGCTTAATTGCTTGAAAATGTGCGTATGAAAAAATTTTCAATAAAGGACATAAAGCTTACAGCTCCTTGTGCATTGACGTTGCAATGATAAATTCTCGTCAAAAACTCTACCTAAAAACATATGTCAGACTTAAAATCTAAATAGCTTGATTTTATCTAACCTTTGGCGGTGTGATTGGATAACTTAATGAGACATGGATATTGCAAAAGAAAGTGCCACCCTCATAAACACTTCCAGTCGGCCCTTCAATAACTGCCGTCCATAGAAAGAGGTCATCAGCCTTTAACATTATAAATAATTTCGGTGGCATTTTGGACATTTAGTGAAGATCTTACTTTCGGTGAAGCGTAACATCCTGAGGGAGCATCGGTTTGTATAGCAGTTTCTTCGTGGAGCAATCTCGTGATCACTTCTGTACGGTCATCTCGTCCAACATCTGCTCGCTTCACTGCTCGTTGGCTGTGCAGTACGCCAATCTTGCGTCGCAAAATGCGACGGACCTAAATCAAAAATAGAGAATAAAAAATAGAACTAAAAGTCTTGTAAAGAAGGCAAATTACAGGAGTAGGTGGCCTTGGTGAGGTGCGAGGTGGTGAAGCTGACGGCAGAGGGCTGGTATTACTAGTGTCAGCACGAGAACTCGATGGCATATGGGGTACATCCAGTTCCACAGACAGCATGGGTATGACCCGACCACTGGCAATAACCCCATGCTCGCCTCGAATGCCTTAAACATATATAAGAGGTTTATAGTCTGTTATGATCAATGCGAGGTTGGCACAGGTGCATGTTTACCACAGTTGAACTAAGTAAAATGCGTAGGTTTTTCCTTAAAAAGGTAAATGATTGCTTTTTCGTTCAGGCTTACATTATTTGTAACCAACCCGAGTATGAGCGATACGGTATAAATGCACCTCTGCCCCCCATAATCATCCTGTCCAATGGTTGTTGAAGGTAGTATTATTTGGGTAAATAACCGTTTCACGAACCTTGCCCAGGTTGAATAGTACGTGTAGCAGAATCATCATCAAATCGAAGCATAGATGCCGCTGCTTGTATAGCATCAGTAGTTGTACGCATGATCGAATACAGAGATGGTCTTGCTTCATTCGTTTGAGGCATTCGTGTGGTTGTAATTCTATAAGTACTAAAAGTTCGATCACACCTATCAATTCCTCAAATCAATTCTCATGTGAAAAATCCTCCGTACGTTACTGAGTTCTAAACCTTCTTCGAAGATTACATCCTTTTATAAAATCAAACATTGCCAGCGCAACCATTTAACGCGACAATATTGTACGTCTGAGCAAATTACTATTTTATCTCTATAACCACTGCTATGCGTTCGAGCTACCAACCCGCTAACAAAGCGGAAAATCGACAAACAGCCAGCAAACACTAATTAACCATTCATAGCATAATTATAAATTCACAGCTGCCAGCCCTCGAAAGGCTGAGTGAACCAAACGAGACATCTAACAAAATTGTGCTTAACCCTTCAACAACGGAAATGATCTTAGCATACAGGGACCCACACTTACTGCAAACCTTGAAATTGAAGCATTAACAAGCATGTATATCAAATGTTAATTACTCCTCCCATATGACTTTAACGTGCAGTAATTGCTGCCTTTCAGGCGTTCCCTACGCTGACCGCAACAGGTAGTTTCGCGCTGCTGCGGACAACACGCACCCGCGGCTCAGCACAGAGGAATAGGCTATACACCAAAGGTTCACATGATCCACTAAACACACTTTCACAAAACCATGACGTTCAAAGAAAGATTCAA